TTACAGGTGATCATGTATTGTGTTATATTATATTTCTGGAAAATTTAAGAGGTAGTTATATAATAATTTTGGACGATTTCGGGCGGTCGAATACTTATGACCGCTACTGTATGTGCAAATTCTTTATGTCAAATTTAAGGTTTGCCCTATATTCAAACAGGAGATGAAATCAAAAAATATTAACGATAATAATAATCTAGCAAAATATCGACTTAGATATATATGTTCAGAGTGTTTTGTTATATATGGTAGGCATTTTTATGAGCGAAGAGGCCGTGGAAATGTGCCAAATTTTGAATGCATAGATATGCATAAGGATGATACAAGTAAAGCACTTTGAATTATAGGTCGCTGGGTCTTATCTATGGCAGAATCCACTGACGAGAATAATAAAAACAATCTCTTAGTATGTTTGACTAACATGCTTTCAATATTTTATAATACTAAGTCTTCTTCAGTAGTGGCAGATTATTTTAACCTTCTTTTTGTAAAGATTGCTTTGAGACTGGGACACGTTAACATAACAAAAATTATGAATCAAAAATATGAACTCACCTCTGAAATAGCCACGGACTTTGGTAAAACATTAGGAATTATGACATGAAAAGCACGACATGATGTACAAAAAAATAAAACCAAACTTGAAAATCCAACATCACTAATAGAATATCAGAATGGTTTTCCTTCATGTCTGGCAAACTTTTTTAATGGATTTATTGAAATGTTATAAAGAAAAAAATACGAGATATTAATTAGAAAAAGAAAGCAAAGGGCCTTCCATTAAAGAATTTTGATACAAGCTGTGTGAACAAGATAACTGCATTTCTTATTTCAATGGTATTAAATATAGCATTTCCGGTCACTAAAATTTGGCTAACTCATATTATGAGTTCACTTTGTCGAAATCCAAAACTACATCACTCCCTTTACAATATTCTTTGCATAGCAAACGTAGTATCTCATACGCATCGATATGAAAGATTGTTAGAAAAGGCCTGTCAACAAGATGTAAAACCAGAAAGTAGACTGTTACGGAGTACTAACATATGGAATGTATCAGTAATCGATAACATAGATTTTATAGAACAAACTTATGCATATAGAAATATCTTTGATGCCACACGTAGAAGCGTACATGCTACATTAAGGATGGTGTTTCAATTTACTATGCCTATGCAACTTCAATGTTATAATCCTATAGATATCAGAGGTTCTAGTAGAAATGACTGATCTATATTTGGCACTTCTGTTTTTACAAATAATCTTCTTTCTCTTTATGAGGAAATGTTTCAAAATTTTCTAACTACACGCATAGATAATTGGGATGCAGATAGTATTCTTAAAGACATTGCTCAAAAAATACTAATGGGATGTAATGTATTACATCTGAATGTTGTTATACTTAAACCAGGTGACAATCTGAATTGCAATATGAATGTTCATAATGCATGCGATTCGTATTATGATGATGTAGGAATAACTAATACCAGTTATCTAGATATTACATGTGACGAAGCAATTTTTCGTCGGTTGATTTTGTACAAAGAAAACAATAATGATAAGAATGTAAGACCTCTTCTAGGCCAGTGGCACACTTCTCGTGATATATGCATTGCATTGATAAATATTTTTTCGGGTTATGGTATTGCCAATATAGCTGCAAAACTTGGAGTCCGATTTTTAGATAAACTAGAAAAAGTCGTAGACTACCAGGCTACCTGTCGAGTTTTAGAATTGATTTGGGTCACCGTTAGAATCGCAATATTTAAATATTTACGCAATAAAAACCAAACAATAAGTGATATTGAAAGTGGAAATAATAATATTCTCAAAGTTTGGTATCGTTATTTATGTTGGGCTGGCTATTGGATAGGACACAAACTTGGTATTTGGCGGGGAAATTATAAAATGCAAATAAGAAATCTCACGGCATTTTCACCTTTATTTCCAGTTGCTGGAAAGGGTAACTATGCTAGGCAGTAACATATTTTTTGACATATATTGAAAATGATCCACATCTTCAAGAATTGCTTAAATGTGTTTATTCTGTGAATCTCACTCGTCCTGGACATTACTTCGCATTTGATGAAGCATTAGAAAGATTTAGCGTCAAGTTTGTAAAATAAAATATTGGGGGGAAAATAATGGATAATGAAGAATTAAAGTTGCAAATAAGCTCTGTACAGACAGAACGAGAGCGATTAGATTTATTAATGTCAGAATATATAGGGGATACAGTTGCAGTCAGAGAAGAACAAGCAACACAATCATGAAAGGATGTATTATGGCAGTTAGCTAATGAGTTGCTCTCTGCTTTTCTTTAGTAGATCTAAAAATGCATAAACTTTTTTTAAATGCACAAGAAATAACTTCAATGGGGTTTTCAAAAATATTTACGTGCTATAATCTTAGTATATCCTAACTCATTATCATTCAACGCCAGGATGTTTATAAAATTGATTCTCAGAATACAAAAGGTTGTCGTAAACGCGATGTAGTAGTGCATAAGTTATCAGAAAATCAAAGCAAAGAAATACATAAACAGCAAATAAATAATACTTTGACAGACGATCAGGTTGAAGATAACACAATACAGCAACAAGAAGATTTGGCTGAATATAAACGTCAACGCAGACGTATTACAGATAATGAAAAAAAGATACTAGAAAATTTATTTAATTTTGACTCGTTTTCTGAAGATATGGCTGTTGAAGTTTTGAGGCAACTTCAAGATTTTAGCAATGATTGGGATATGCAACGTGTTCAAATATATTGGAATAATCATCATAAGCGAACATGATATTGCCATTTCTGATTTTTAACTCAACCTTAACACTAAATTTTTTATTGTTATCATTATATGTATTTTTAGCATTAGTTTCGAGTTAAAAAAAAATTTATATAGAAATATCAAAATTATCATTATATGAACATTTTGTCATTTATTTAATATTAAAAAATTTTCATACTAAGTCAATAAAGTACAGTCTTTTAAAAAATAAACTTCTTTTGAAATTAGATTTATATGTGATTTAATCGGCTTTACAACTTTACTTAGAGGTAAAATATAGATTAGAAATGCCAATTTTGAGTTTTCATATAAAAAAATTGTTAAAAATATCAAAATTGAACATGAAAGTTAATCGTAAACCTTATTCTTCAGGTATATAACTCTAAAATTTTACTAATTATACGTAATTTTATCAGCGCTATAACTTTACTTAGAGATAAAATGTAGATTGAAAATTCCGATTTTGAGTTTTATATGAAGAAACTGTTAAAAATTACTGCGTCACGTGATTTTATTTTAAAATTTTCGATGGAAGATTCTTTAAAACTATCATTATTATATAATATTAATAAATAGACTTTTAAAAAGAAGAGTTTCTGGTTATACTTATATTAAAATAGCAAGAAGTTACAACAATTAGATTTTGGTGTTAGCATATAAGCAAAAGTGATGAATTAGCTTTTTTATATATAAAAATTGTGAAAATGTAGTGTGCCGATCTCCTAATTAAAGAAATTTCCGCAAAATTAAGTGACAAAATCTTGTGTAACTTTGGATTAAGAAATTTTACAGTATCACATTTTTTGAGTTTTTACAATTCAAGTGACATATCCTGTGACCGTTATATATATAAAATAATCTTTACAAAAAATTTTTTATTATTTTTATAGAGGCAATTTCTATGTACTGTATTTGGATACGGATCACATAATATGGCTGACATTAACAATTTACCCAGTATCGCCATAAAAACATCATCACGTGACATTTGGCCGGCATTACGGCATTAAGAAATTAACTGTATAATAAATATGGAATTTCACTACCAAAAAAATTCTAAGTCTTCAGAATACATAGTAAAAATGAAAAGTTGAGGGTTGTGACGCAGGGTGACAAATATTTTACTATGATTACGTGAGAAATCTTTATGACGATACTGGTAAGATGGCATTAACATTACTTTTACCGGCATTAAGAAATTAAGCAATTTACCCGTGTGATGACTATGTGATGGATAATGTGTGATTAATAAGAATCCAAATCTTATTTGTCAAGAATTATTTGTCACGCATGTGCCACCAACCTGGCACACATTCAGGGGTGCAAATTTTATACGGCTTCATCAACCAATGAAATCAATCTTTCCTTTATTTAATTATGATGTAAGACGCGATTTATGAAAAATTTATTCAAGTTGAACTAGAAATGTATAATAAAGAGAATAAAGAGAATAAAGAAACCATCAATTCTCCTTTAACCAGGTAAAATGTATTGATTTATCAATTTAATAAAGAATACACAAATCCTTATTGATTTGTTTTTTTTTAAAAATATATATATATATATATATATAGAGCACCACGTCTATGGACAATGAACAACTTTGATATTGGAATTGGACTTGGAAAAGGTCAATTCGGTCGTGTTTATATTGCAAAAGAAAAAACAAGTGGTTTTATTGTTGCTCTCAAAGTGTTGAAAATATCCGAATTAAGAAAAAGTAAAGCGGAAAAACAATTGGTACGCGAGGTTGAAATTCAAGCTAATCTAAGGTAAATCAAAAATCTTTTTTTTTTTTTATAATGATCGATGAAATTCACCATAATTTTTACAGACATCCGAATATTCTCCGTCTTTACGGACACTTTCATGATGAAAGGTATGTCTTCCTAGTTCTTGAATATGCCGCCAAAGGAGAACTTTATCGACATCTCAAAAGATGCACTAGATTTACAGAAAAGAGAACTTCAAGAGTATGAAATTTTAAACATTACAACTAAAGTTTTTATTAATAACTTTCAACCAATATATTTATTTATATATATTTCTTTTCATTATTAGTATATTGCACAAATGGCTGGAGCTTTAGCATATATTCACGGCAAACATGTAATCCACCGAGATATCAAGCCCGAGAATCTGTTATTAGATATGAACGATCAACTTAAAATTGCAGATTTTGGGTGGTCAGTACACGCACCAAGTCAGAGGTATAAAGATATTCTACAAACATAAATCATAATTATATGAAGATAATCTTAAAATTAATTCAAAATTCATTTCCAGACGTAAAACAATATGTGGCACCAAAGATTACCTTTCGCCAGAAATGGTTGACAATCAACCTCATGACGAGAAAATCGATCTTTGGTCATTAGGTGTTTTATGCTTTGAACTTTTAACTGGAAATGCCCCGTTTGAAGAACCGGTTAACGGAAGAGATACAACTTACAAACGGATAGCTAAAGTCGACTTCACGATCCCAGATCATGTATCAGCTGATGCAAAAGATTTGATCGTTTCGGTAAGTAATTAGCAATGGCGATTTTAAATTAATTCAATGAATTCAATTTACACTTTTAAATCGACAGTTATTACAACGCGACCCCAGTAAACGTTTGCCAATAAAGGAAGTGTTAAGTCATCCGTGGATTCTTAAGCATCAAAGAAAATCCATAATAAATGTGTAATATGAAAAACACAAAACAAATTATTTATGTAGAATTCCAAAATATTCACTTTAGTTATAAAAAAACAATATTTTACAAAGAAAACTAAAAAACCGTCCACATGATTATATCAAGTCCATAATATCGAACAACGCACTCACACTTTCACCATTATGTATTCTTCTGATTGCTTCTGCAAATATTGGAGCAACATCGAAGACTTTAAGTTTAGTACAGTGTAATAAATGTTCATCTTGTGGAACACTATCGCTCACGATAACCTGATCAATGACACTTGCTGCGATCCTTTGAATAGCATCACCACTCATTATTCCATGAGTTATAATGGCATAAATCTTTTTTGCTCCATTTTCACCAAGTATTTTTGCAGCTCTGGTAATTGTACAAGAAGTATCCGCGATATCATCAATTAAGATACATATTTTGTCTTTAACCTCACCGACAAGCATCATGTCGGTTTTATTAGGCTGATTTTGAGAACGACGTTCTTTGTGAATCAAAGCAAAATCCATACGAAGTTTATCTGCAATCGCTGTTGCCCTAAATAAATAAAATAACTAAGTTGTTTTTTTTTAAGGAAAACGAAAGTTAATACATAAATCATCAAGGTTTCTACCTTTTTGCACCACCAGCATCCGGAGAAACAATTACTGCTCTTTGATAATTTGGAATGTTTTCTTTAATGTATTTTATCATCAAAGGTTGGCCATAAAGGTTGTCGACAGGTATATCAAAAAAACCTTGGAATTGGGGATCATGAAGGTCCATGGTCATTATATGGTCAGCTCCTGAAAGCAAATGAACAAAATTACGTATTAATAATATTTTCATAATTGATATAACATTATTTTGTAGTTGATCATTATGTAATGACCTGCACACGTTATAATATTGGCAATAAGCGTTCCAGATCGAGCAATCCAATGTTTATATCCAGTAGACATTCGAGATGAACTCATGTCAGACCCCTGCTCTTCAAATCTGGCAAATGCCGCCCCAAATGGATCTTTAACTTCATTTGAAGGGGTAGTAGGTGTTGAATCAAGACAGCCTGGTGTATCAAATGTATAACCAATAAAAGCATTCCTTGGAATCCGCGATAATGGTGCACCATTTTTCTTGTAAGGAGCATCAGGTTGTCTCGCGTATGGAAAACAGGGTATCACGGCGGTAACTCTCGCCGCGGATGCAATTTTACAAGCTGATATCATGATCAATAATTCCATTAGATTATCATTTACGTGGCCACAGCCAGATTGAATTATATAAACATCTTTTTCTCGGACACTTTCATGGATCTCAACATTTGTTTCCTTATTTGAAAATTTTGAAAGTTTAGCACACCCAAGATTAACATTTAGACGAGAAGCAATTTGCTCAGCTAAAGCAGGGTGTGAGGAGCCTCCGAAAATAACGATATTGCGCATCTTTAATAAAAGATTCAAAAATGTCGCGTTTAATAAACTTTTAAAGAAAATGTTAAAAAAAAAAAAAAAAGGTTATGACTAATTGTTTGGTAATTAAAATGGGTTTGTGCTCAATTGCATGATGATCTGTTTTAGTTTTATTTTAAAACAAGTTAAATTTATTTTTTTAAAATTCCAAAGTTCATTTTACATTTTCAATAAATGTCGTCTAATCCACTCTTACAATTTGTAACTTTCTCTTCAGCTGTTGAAGCCACATTTTGGCATACTTTATCCACACGAAAAATTGATTTATATAAATTAGATGATACTTCACATGATATTTTAGGTTATTACTCTACTGGACGAACTGTAATTTCACAGCATGCTACGGAGGCTAACATTTCTATGCCAGCTCATTTGTGTCTTGGCACTGGAGCTTTTGATGATGCCAATGCAGAATCTTTTTCACGGTGAGGATTAATTCGTGAAAGAAGAACCCAAAGAATAATTTAAAATAATTAAATAATTCGCGTAATTTCAAATTTTAATGTAGTTTACCTCCCTTTTCTTATCCTTCGATTGGAAAAATAAAAAATACTAATACCATTGAAGATTTCAAAAGTCTTGACAAAACTTCATTATTTAAAGAAATTACTGAACAAGTAAAAGATTCAAGTTCATTTTTTTGGTTGTAGTATAACCTTTATAGTCATGTGATTTGTCTTCAATTTATTTGTATAAATCAATTAGATTTGGCAGGATATTATCTCTGGTGAAGCGATCAAAAATCCGTGTCTAATTACCCGATTTCTCCTTGTAACTTTTGCCGATTTGAAGAAGTACAAATATCATTACTGGTTTGGTTTTCCCGCTTTATTAACCGAACCACCGTGGAGTGTCGCAGAAAATGGCCAAATAAAGAGCATTGGAGATTCATGGGAATCTAACGAGGTTGGCTTTTATTTATAATTAATCGTATATATTTAATGCAATTTAATGATATTAATGCTTTCAATTATTTTGATTAGATTGAAAGCTTTAGAGAAAATTATGATCTTTTTAGACAAAAGCAGTCTGGTGCAAACGCAGGATTTTTCCTTGTGAGAAAATCTAGTAACAATGAAGTCATGATTGGCAGTCTATCTGAATGGGATACATTCTTTGAAAGCTGTAATGATAATGAGGTGAATAAAGAGTTAAAATGAATGATATAATTAAATAGGAATTCCAATAATTTTATGAGCATATACTTCATTAGCGAATTGTTGGATTTGCTGATCCTTCAAGCTTGCCCATGAATCCCGGATGGCCACTGCGTAATCTCTTAGTGCTTTTACAACGTCACTGGAATGTACATAAGATTAAAGTATTATGTTACAGAGAGATTCCGGGAAAAAAAGATATTTCACAAACTCGTATATTGACAGTTGAAATACCTGAAACCACATCAATTTCTGGTACTTTATATAAATTTTAAAATTTTTACTTATCATCAGTAAAGAAATTAACATTACTGACATGCTTTAATAATATTCTTATAAGACAAGTGTCCTAAAAGTGTAGGTTGGGAAAAGAATCCACAAGGAAAACTTGGTCCTCGTTCTGCTGACCTTGCACCTCTTATGGATCCAACGAAGTAACCATTCGTGTTTAGTTCTTTTCGTTCCATTATGAACGAACTATCATTCATTTTTTTAATAATTTTTATAAGACTGGCCGATACCTCGGTTGATTTAAACCTGAAATTAATGCGATGGAGAATTGTACCAGATCTACAGCTGGAAAAAATCAGAGAAACAAAATGTTTATTACTTGGTGCGGGAACCTTAGGTTGTTACGTGGCGAGATGTCTCTTGGTATGACAAACTTATTCAATTGATTTTAACTTTCACACACTATGAGTTATTAATCATATATTACGTGATTCGTTATATAAGGGATGGGGTGTCCGTCATATAACATTTGTTGATAATGCACGTGTTTCGTTCTCCAACCCTATTCGACAACCGTTATTTTTCTTTGAGGATTGTCTTGAAGGCGGAAAGCCTAAAGCGCAGACTGCGGCCGAAAATTTAAAAAAGGTTTATCCCGGTGTAGTATGTGTAATTTTTTTCTTTTTTTAAAAAAAAAAATTTTTTTTTTATTTTCCAATGAAAATGTTTTGAAATTTGATCGTTTGGAAATCTAGATAACTGAAGGACATGATATCAGTATTCCAATGCCGGGGCATCCAATCACTTCAGAATCAAAAGTTCGTAGTGACGTTGAAAAAATTTCACAACTCGTCGAATCACATGACGTGGTCTTTTTATTAATGGATAGTAGGGAGAGTCGATGGCTACCCACCATGTTGGGCGCAAGCATGCGAAAGGTAAATACCTCATGTTTAATAAATATTTTAAATTAAGTTAAATACATGTATGTCTTACGCGTCACATTTATTAGCTTGTTATAAATACAGCATTAGGCTTTGATACTTATGTTGTCATGCGACATGGAGTCAAAGATCTTCATGCTGCTTCGAAAACAACCAATGCATATAGTAGTAAGATGCCAAAAGTTGAACATTTAGGATGTTATTTTTGTAATGATATTGTGGCCCCAGCTGATTCCCTGAAAGATCGTACCCTTGACCAACAATGTACGGTCACGCGACCTGGATTATCGGCGATTGCCGGTGCATATGCCGTTGAGTTGATGGTTTCTGTTTTACATCATGAAAAAGGGTAACTTGTCAATGATATAATTCTTTTTACAGGGTGATTGATTAATTAATTTTTTCTGTTTAATTAATAGACCAGCAGCACCAGCTGATACAAATAATGATGACCTTTCTAGCGCAACATCAACTCCTTTAGGTATCATACCACATCAAATTCGTGGATTTTTAACAAATTTTAACAATATGTTAATAATTGGACAAGCTTATGATAAATGTACTGCTTGTTCTGATAAAATATTGGAAGAATATAAAATAAATGGATATGAATTTCTTAAGCGCGTTTTTGACTCATCTACATATCTTGAAGAATTAACAGGATTAGCTAAATTGCATCAAGAAAGTGAAGCTGCCGGAGATTTTGATTGGGATGAAGAAGATACTGAATTATGAAGTATTAAATCGATTTGGTAATAATTAATTCCGTTATTCAAATTATGTATATTAGTATCTAGAGAGAATGTAAAAGAAATGAATAAAAATTTCGAAAGTATTTTTATTAATAAAGATAAGCATCAAGAATAAAATCTATAAATACAAATAATACTTTTGTATCAATCAATATTAAATATTCATGCATATATTTTTGATTTTTGACAAATTGCGAAAAAAAAAAAAAAGATTAATTAATCCATCTACACACAAATATATATATTTATATATATTATATATTTCAAATAATCTCTTTATAATAATTAAAAGGAAACAAACAATTAATCATCACTGATACTTATCATCGCTCGTTAATAACCTCCACTATTTTTTGAGATCGTCAAAATAAGTTGAGATTGGGAACAATTCTTTACACTTATTCCTAAATTCTTCAGCTTTTGATGAATTTAACTTGTCTTTTTTGAGTTGCTCGTATACTAATACGCAATTCTATACAAAATAAAAAAAAAAATAATGTTCAATTGAAAAGATAATTTTAATAATGTTGATTTTAACTTTCCCATCTAACTACCTTTAATGTTCTCGTATTCAAGAATTCGTCTTTGACAGAATTCATTAATATACTTGAAGCTTCTTGTTTAGATTCAGGATTTAGTTGCAATAGTACATTAGAACCAGCTAATAAATGAGGTACAGATCCTTTGTTTCTAGCTAAAAATTCTTCATTATGTGCCACCAAAGAAATTTCATGAGGCAGTATAGTTGGTAACTCGGTATCAATAACTTTAAAAATTGTTTGGTATTCAGTGGCATTACGTAATGGATCCCTTTGATCGTTATCTTCTTTTTCAAGCTTAGAGACTGAAATAAAAGATAAAGCATATTTATTAAATCATAATAAACACAATTTAGAATAGAATGATTACCATACCTTTTAACTTGAATTGTATTATATTTAAGTGTAAAACTGGATTCTCTTTATCAATATTATACGCACGTTTTAGAGCCTTAAGAGCGAGTAAATATTTTCCTGAATTATAAAAATGATTTCATTAATAATAAAATAGATGACACTCGACATGATAAAAAATTTTATGACAGGGAAACCAACTTTTACGAATATAGTATTCAAATCCCAAAAGTTGTGTTTCTATTCTTTGCGAAGCCAATGTTTGCAAAGGTTGAAGAAATTTAAATGCCTCTCCTAAAGGATCTTCTACCTATAAAAAAACATTTTGAAGTTAAATTAATTCATAAATATTATTATAAAATAAATAAAATAATATCATTAAACCTTAAGAAGCTTTTCGCCTTCTGGGTCATCATCTTGAGCTTTCTTTTTCGAATGATCTTCCTTTGCAGGAGTGACTTAATCAATCATTAAGAAAATCAATACATCTCTTTTTTTAAAGAGACTATCATTATGAACTCTAAACAGCAATAATACTCACCATTTTTTGCCTCCTTAAGTGCAGCTTTTTTGGCCTTGCTTTTGGCTTTTTTTGCTGCCTTAATTTCTTTCTCTGTCATATTCTCTTTAATCAAATATTTATTTATTTATCGTTAATAATAACTTCATTAAACTTTAAAATAAATCATACACGAGCATACCATAGTTTTGGCTTTCATCACCATCGACTATTTTTGGATTATCATTTATATAAAGATAGATCTAGATGTTCCAATGGGATAATTCGTAATGTGAACAAAAAGAGAGATATATATACAAATAAAATGCGATGTATACCTCAATAGCGTTCTGAGCAGCACGGAAATAATACAAATTTGAACGTAACTGATCTTCAAGTCGCAACATACTTTATATATCGCATGAAAATAGCAAATTTAAAAACATACATAATTTCACAGTTAATGTACTCGAAAATAAAAGACATACCTCAAATATGCTCGGAGAGTAACTTTACGTAGACAATATGTATGGAAATCAAATTGATCATCTGTTATATCCGCAAAGTGCTTAAATGTTATCGAAAATATCATGTTACTATCAATGTATTCTCTATATATTAATTATCAAACAGTATTTATAATTTATGTAGTTAAGAATTACTAACTTAAATGTAGAATTATACCTTTTCGATTTGATGGAAGCGTTTAAGAGCTTTGCCAAAATTATTTTGTCTTCTATAACATTCTCCTTCTTCAAGTGCATACCACATACATTGCATATCCATAAGATCCGTTAAAGGGTCAGGAGCGTCACCCTTAAAGATCGAAAATATTAAATAATTTGCAAATAATATTAAATAAAAAATTGATTAGGTAAAATATACACACTCTAGTGAATAATCCAATTGTTTTTATAGCTTCCTTCGGTTGATCATTTCGGAGCATATACTTCGTACATTTCGAATTGATGAACCTATCTTGAAGGTCCAATTCTCGGGCTTCATCCATAACTTTCATGGCTTTGATAAGGTCTCCTCCATGCTATATACATCCAAGATGCAACTATTTGGTAAGACTAATTTTGCATTTACATCATCTAACATAGCTGTAAAAATTCGGACCTTGAGTATACGGCCCTTTGTCATATATAATTCTACTAAAGTTGGTGTGTGTTCAATCGCTTCATCGATAAATTTGAGAGCCTTCATGGTATCGCGTTTATTATCATAATGCTGAGCTAATAAATAGAGGGCCCAAAGATACGCCGTAGGTGGTTCAATTTCGTCACCAATTGAGTTCTTGGTGAAAGCTTTATTCGTCTTTAAATTTTGGAGATATTCTTCAACCAATTTCTCAACTATAATCTCCTTCACTGGATCAACGTAAAGTTTTTTGAGATTAACAAATAATGAAGGAACACCTTTTCTAAGCGCTTCTTGCATGTATTTATCTACTTCAAATTTAAACCTCTCGTCTAGAAAACATTTATTCAAATGAATTAAAGAAATAAGATATTATGAAGCAGACATGTATATAATATAATAATAATAAACGTCTACAAGATGGACTGACCGACTGCATATTGTAAAGGAAGTCGTTTTATGAGATTTGACCTTTGATATTTCGTGGCCAATTCTTGACAAATGTCGAGGACTTTCTCGCGTTGTTCAGAAGACAACTCATCTAAAATTTAAATGAACTTATTGCGGTGAGTGATCACGTTAACTTTGCCGATATAATATTTGAAATACTTACTAGTATTTATCATAAAGGCTGATAGCAAGCCATCGTAATAATTATAGCAATCTGGATTATCTGCTATTAAATCTCTGTAAGCTTCTTCTGCTTCTGAATATCTTTCAAGTTTCAGCAGAAATAAAGCTATACCAAAAAAAAGACGGATATAATGATAAAATATAATATTACTACAATTTAAATGTTATTGTTGACAATTCAAACCTCTCTTTTCTTTCCATGAGCGAATATCACAGATATCTTCCTTAATAGATTCCAAATGCCCCAAAGCCTTCTCAAATTTGCCACTCTCTTCTATTATAAGATTATGATATAAAAGCATCTCACTATGTTCAAAATTCATAGGACCTGGCTTTTCCTACAAAATGAAGTCTTTATCATCAAACGTTATAATTGAATACAGTATTCTCTTAATCTATTTAATATTTACTTTTAAAGTATCCTCATAAGCTTTCAATACTTTTTCAGCAGATTCATAATTTTCAAGCAAATGATAAGATATAGCAAGCCCAATCCAATATCTTTGATTATTATATCTTAATTTCAAAAGACGAAGTCTTGATTCCTTATAATTAATGAATTTTTTATCAAACATTTCGAAAATTTATAGTATTTATTAAAAATTGTGTTAAAAACGAATACAATAATTCTATATGTTACTCACATTAAAAGCCTCATAATTTCGCATTTGAATTTGGAGCAAGGAGTAATCTTGAAGGATTTGTAAATTATCCTATTAAAATTTATGAAAAACAGATATATTTGAATTAAATGATTCTAAAATCTTTTTTAAAATCGCGTTAAAATTCATATTTACCTTATCATATTTTAATGCTTGAGTATAGCACTTTAAAGCTTCACCATAATTTTTATCTGATCGATGTAACAATCCATATACATGCCAACCTAAAGAAAAAAAATATATATATATTTTTTTTTTTCTAATTTTATTCAATTCAAGATATTCATCAGAAAAATAATATATTTACAAATATGGCTAGTCAGATCAGATCGAAGGCCTTTGCGAACGAATTCATGCGCTTCCTCTTTCCTCTCCATATGATTAAGAAATAATCCTTTCATAGCCAATGTTTCTGTATCAAACATTAAATGATGATAATTGAATAATCAAAATTACAATAATTATACAAATTCAAACAAATCGAAAAACTTCTTTTTATTATGCAAATAAATCTTTTTTTTTTTTTTTTGAAAATAGTAGAAAAAGAATAATGTCATGTATACCTCCATGTTCAGGAAATTTTTTCAATATTTGTTCAGCAGCTTTTAACCCTTTTTTATACTGCTTAAACTCATAGTGTTTCTATATGAATTTTGTAACCTTTTAAGTCAGTCATACTAAATGCATGTATATTAACCAGCAATTATAGTAAACACCACTATATAGGATATACTTGCAAGAATTTGCTTAAAAAGAGTAGATTCTCTGGCCGGCAATTCCCTCATTTTATTTTCCTAGGTAAAAAATTAAAGGTTTGTGTTATACACAATCGCTATAACCTTACAATGTTTGCTATAAATGATCTCACAAATACTTATGAAAAAGTTGAACTAAAAAAATGTACTGTACGATATAGATTTTCAAAAAAAAAATCTTGATAAAAAACGAACCATCACATGATTCGAAAAAATTTTTTTTTGCCAAATTATTAGTTTATAGGAAATTTGACTAATTTTAGCGTTCCGACAATTTTTTTTTATTACATTATGTATATCTTAATTTTATCACGGTATTAATAATTTTATTTAGAGGCCAAGAACTGATGAATAAATGACTAGGAATGATAAATGATAATAATAATGGATCGATTTTTATTAAGTTTGGAACCTTAAAAAAAAGTTTGTTAACGATTGCAGATCATAGACCGATAAAAATTAGATGCATCTAATCTAATTAAAAATAATTAATATTTTGTATTGACAAGGTGGCAAAAAAAGAAAGAGCGTAACTTTTCGTTTATTTTGTTTGTCGTATAGAACATTTAACTTATCTGCGATTTTATTGGTTGAATTTTGTGATAACCATTTTTGAAATATCACATAATTATTAATTTTGATTGGTACAAAATTGATCGTCATAAAATTTACCAAAATAGAAAGGTTAGTTTTTAATTTTTCGGCTTTTTTTTTTATAAATTTTTTTATATAAAATTCTTGAATTAAATCAAAAATATAAGAATATTAAATATATCATAATAATTATAAAAAATTTAGAAAACAAGTAGAAAATTAAAAAAGGTCTAGTAACATAAATTAAAAAGTAAAATTATAAATGCTTATCTACTAGATATCATATATTTAAATTACTATCTAATAATATTTATAATTATTGTATTAAAAATTTAAATGTTAGATTAAGAAAAAAGTATGCTTTTTATCATAAATATTTTTTCAGTATAAATAATAACTATTAATTATTTTTTTGAATTCTATAAAAAAAATGTTATCTTTAATGTAAAATCCTATATAAAAAGATTATAAAAAAATAATAATGTTAACATATAATCTTTTTAGATTGTAACTGTTAGATGTAGTATTAAAGGGTTAACTCATAGTTTATGTATAATTCTAATTAGTTGTATATTAAACTTAGTTATTTTACTACTAGTTTTGTTAATTTGAGTTAAGTTTACTTTACATAAGCAGCTTAAATCACAGGTTAAAGTTTTCAATAGAATCACAGAATTTTACAATATAAAAATAATAAATACTTTATTAAAGAAAAGAGAAATAAAAAAAGATAATAAAATATAAAATAAGAGAATAGAAATAATAAAGAGGAGTACACAAAATAAAAAGTAGCATTACACTATTTTTTACAAAAGAAAGATTTCTATACAGCTATCAGTCTGTCTTTTCTAACTTACAAAAAGACTTGTATTTATATCTATTCTATTCAGTGTTGAATTGGACCTTGTCTAATTTTCAATAATAGACTATTAGACTTTAAACTTAATGGAAATATCCAGTCCAATTCTAATTCAAATGGATTATGATTATCCCTTAAACTGTAGAGATTCGCAAGCAAATTTGCCTGCTTATTTACTATAAATTCTCTTCTGATTTACTTTTATAAAAAATTAAAATTTTTAAAAATTTTTTTTTTAAATTAATTTTATAAATATATATAATATTATAGTAAATTTTATTTT